CGCTTTTCATGACATCAGTGGGTTTCCCCAGCTTAGCTGCCACTTCTGCCGGAGCGGCTTTGCCGCCGGCATTCCTTCGGTTGTCATTACCCCCACCTCCGCCTAACCGTGCCTGTCTAGCACGCTGGCTCAGAGTACCCTCATGCACGCTGATGTTACATTCTTCTTTTTCTCGCAACATCATTTCCTCGATCTGCTCCACCAGCCATTCGGAACTCTTCGTGCCATGTCCCATGTTGTCTCTTGACATGTCGTATAGTTTGCATGCAAGGTCAAGCTTGCTTGGCTTTCTGCATTCCTCAAGGAAGCGTGCATGAATTGAGGCCCTCATTTCGTCAGACGGAGGTCGGGCGCCGTAGAGCTGTTGGTATACGTCTGTCCATTCATTATAGAAATGATACAGGTCAGCATCTGACTTGTGGGGTCAATAACTACCTTGAAAATATCACGTGACATGCGATAATGGCCCAACTCTGATCGGACAGAGCACCAATGGCACATGGCTCGTACCATCACGTCCAGTTAAGAGCCTTCCCTCATTCTGGGCGCTGCACTCCATCCGTTGGATCTGTTGGAGGAAATGGATATGATGACCAGTCTGAGTACGATTTCTTCGCATCTGGTTGAATTTTTCGATCAAATTCGTAGCAATCATAAGGTCAAGCCGCTGAAAGCGCCCTGCATCTTTTAGCTGCTCATCGTCCACGGCTGGGTCCATAGCTTCCGCGATCCAGTGATGCGCTGCCTGACTCTCAGGCGAGGATCCGGCGATCGCCTGGACCGCATGCATTTGCCACCCCCTTATGTTAGCAACGGTGGGGATATCCATTAGGTCGATTTTCTGATTGTTGCCTACCTGTCTCCATTGATCTAATGGCGTACCTTCATCAATGACAACTGGATCCTGCGGCCCGCGAGGGCCTTGAGGTCCTCCACGGCTGCCTCCGCCATCCGAGGGCTCTGAACCCCCTGGGCTTCCTGGAGGCGACTTATGCGGTCGTTTGCCGCGATCGTCGTCACGCATAGACGTGTTCTCGGAGTTCGGAGCGTCACTCTTGTCATCCCCATTTCCGTCCTGCCCTTCGGCGCCCGACGACTTAGTCGCCATCGGTCCCGCAGAACCGTCCTTTGCGGATGGGCGGCAATTGGCGAGTGTGTTGTCGTCACTAGAACCTGTCAATTTAACATCAATTGGAAATCCACTCTCAGGGATGCCCGGCTTAGCCGGACCCTCTAGGGCAGGACCTGGGACAGTAAAGTTATCGCGCAACAGCGGTCTTATAGGAGTGTCCCGAGACAGTAACGGCACATCAAATGAGCTCAGAGTGAGCCCTTTATTTCGCTTCTGTTCAGCATGCGGAGTTGGATCCGTGATGATGGCTTTGAGCCTCATCGTTCCTTTCTCTGTCTCAGCTGCGTTCGCCATGGCCTCTGGTTCTCGCGCGTTGGCAGCCGACCTTTCACTCTTCCATAAATCACATTTGGAACGTCTTCTAGTGCTCGCATCGAAATGATCTTCACAAGCCGATCGGCCACAGCCGACGCAATTCCCCGTTTTCGGGCAAAAGCAAGCCGAGCAAAACTGAGCCACAATGGATCTCTCTGCTAATGTTCCCCCCCGCTCCTCGGGTGGAGAATGCGCCATCTCTCTTACCAGCAGGGTTGACGCTCCCGCATTTGCTATGTTCGTCAAGTCAGACTGCGATGGAACGGACACGGCGCCAGACGACTGAGCCGCCGATAATTGGTGCACGTTCGTCCCAGTGGGCTTAGCCGGCGGGCATTTAGCATTGCTCGATTGCATGCGCTGAAGGGAAGTTCTGGCTTCTTCATGCGATCTAAGTTCTTCCAACTATTGATTGCTCTGGTCGGCTATCTTCGCAGCTACAGCTTGGGTGTTGACCGCTTCCAGCCTGGCGTTTTTGAGTTCTTCTTGTAAGGTCTGCCGTTCGCGCTCCGCCTTGGCTGTAGCGATTCGTTCTCCTTCTATTCTAGCCACCGCAACAGCCGCAGCGACCGCTTCGGCATCGACAGATTGGGCAGTGGCCGCCGCAACGGCCTACCGTTCAGAAGCTAGCATCTCGCGATATCTGTTTTCGGCTTCTACCTCCGCCTGCCGCTGAGCGGCCGCGGTCTGAAGATCCATTCGTTCCATCAGTTCTCGTTCTCGCTCCCTAGCGGCCATAGCTAGGGCGAGTCGTCCAGCCTCCAATGTTCTCCGAACTTCTTCCATGGTCGCAGTCATCTCCTCTCGATCCAGGCGGGCCCTTTCGGCCAACTGTGCTTCGCTCGCGAGGAAGTCTCGCTGGGTGTTAGCCTCGGCCAGCCTAGCCTGATCCTGGATAGTCTGCATCAGAAGATAAGTGCTATTGTGTTCTTCCATGGGAAGGCACTCGGTACACAACCACTGGGCATTACACTTAGGGCATAATTCAGAGCATCTCTTACAAACTGGATGCTTACATGCACCTTCTGTCCGGTAGGCTTTCCCCGGACATCTGCTTTCCGCCTGAGGCGTGCAGTCAGTGTTCGGGTTCCAACATTCCTCCATTATAGAGAGGGGTACTGTTGCTTCTTGAAGTCGACCTCGCTCCTGAACTAAGTATTTTGGGTCTTCCCCTACTAGACGCATTCGATCTGGGGCGAGCAAAAGTGCTTTCTGGGGGTTTGGGTACGTCTAGGAGCTCTTCATCCCTCTCGTCCTGCTTTATTAGCTCAGTGCACGAAGCTGGTTGTCCAACCATTTCCTCATCCTCACTTACAGCTGGTATAGAGGGTTGCCAGTCGCCCGAGGTGACCGCGGGACGAAAGAAACCTTCCTTCAGTGGTGAGACATTTAGGTCATAATCCTCATTTCTCTGCTTCTTGAGATGAGGTGCAGGGGTTCGGCCTGTGGACTCCCTCTCATGCTTCGCTTGAGCGTCAGTCCTGTCCGCCTGAGGCGTCAGGACACTAGTGTCTTCATCGGATCCATCTGGAGACCACCTCTCGCCTTGGGCGGGGAGGTCTTGTTCCATCATCAGGGACAGTTCTCGGCTCAAAGAGATTTCGTTGTTAATATTATCAAAATCCTCCAATGAGTTTATTTCATGTTCTTTATCAATGGGATCATCGCTGTCCTGACCGAATTGTCCATTTAACGCTATTGAAAACGGGGGCGTCTCTATTCGCACCTGCCCACTCGCCTGGGACGCTGGGGTAAACGCCTGCGTTCTCGCGGGCACCACCTTGCCTACTGGTTTGACCAGTGGCAGGCACGATTGTATGTGTAGCATTTGGAATCGGGCGGATGGACTCCGTCGATTTGGCACTCCAAGACGAGAACGCACTCTGTCTAGGTCTCGCTGTTGTGCCTTTTCGTCCGTGCGGGTCTGGGGTTTGTTCCCGGTTACCAATCGGAATCCCGGAGGGAGAGACATCTACCGACATCTCTGCCACCCCTTCAGTGCTTCCGCCCCGAGATACCCGAGCGGCGATATAAGAAGGAGGAATACGGCCCTGAGTCGGGCCGCTCTCAATAGCACTCTGTCCGTCATGTTGTACAACATGCCTTTCGGCGCTTCGCGAAACGACGGGCTCGTCATCTGTCTTATCACAGCTCATTCCCGCAGCGACTAAGTCGTGGGGCTCACCCGAAGTTCCTTTTTCTGGGTGAATTAGCCCATCGTCGACTAAGTCGCGCGTTTCGGCTGATAACCACTCTTTCCTCGGACAATCGGGATAAGATGCCAAAGGGATTAAGATCTCACGTTCACTCTGCTCAGGGAGAGAGGGGACGGGATGAGACATCGATAAGACAAGTATCCGTTAAGCAAGATTACTCTATCAGGAATGTGTAAGGAGGAGGCCGGCTGGCCTACGACCGACGACGCGCGACGGCCGAGGGCTGGCGCGCTCCTTTTCTCTCCTGCAAGCCAAGGCTGGCTTGTTTGAGCAATCAATACAGCTGCAGGATGCAGCAGTAGTTCAGGCAGGCAGTGCGAAGCATGCAAGTTATCTTAAGTTCTAATTGAATATGAGGCGGAGAGGAGCATATTTACTCGCAGAGCTACCAGCCAATGCTACGAGCCAGGGCGCGCAAACCCCAAAACATGTTTTACAGCGCGAGCCGCCCGAGTTAGTCCTGACTCCTGCTGCAGTGGTCAAGATCGAGCACGCGCGGAGTACGAATGTATGTGATTGTCGGAGTGTGTTACCAGGTTGATACCTGCGAGCCGAAAGATGCAGCGGGCACATGAAAGGATAAGAAAGGTAGGGATTCCGGTGAAAGAGGAGGAGGAGGAGGACAACGACGACGATGAAAAGGAGGGGAAGGACGAGGGCGACGAGGACGAAAAGCACGAGGAGGAGGACGAGGAGGACTAAGCGCAAACGTAAACTGTCGGAGCGCGGGGCGCAAACACGAGCTCTCGGAGGACTCCCAGGGGCGGCACAGGAGGCACCACCAGGGGAAGGCGGCGGCGCCGGTCCGAGAGATCCGCGCGGACCTCCGAAGCTTGTCGTGTCGTGGCAAGCTGTGCATCAGTTTCTGAAGCAGTCGGAGCTAGGACAGAAGAGCATCCTTCAAGAACGCGAGACCCTCCGACGGCCAAAACACACAGAGCATCCGAGAATATCCTCCCCAGGATGCACGAGGACATCCAACAGACGCAAACAACGTCAGGGTACCCTCCCCGAACCGACCTCGATCTTATACCTCGGTTCGACTGTGCCGCGTGAGCCGTTCAAGCTTGAGCCATCGCCACGAACGACCGCGGCTCTTCGATGGCGCGGATCGTTGGATGTCGGGCAGTGCCTGGCCGCCGCCGGCGCTCAGCCTCGGGCGCCCGCGCTGGCGTCGCCGCCGTGTCGACACCGCGCGCACCTGCCGAATGCTGATTTGTCTGCTTCGGAAAAAACACACACACACACACACCTGCCGAGGGCTTGTGTTTTTTTGTTCCCCGCCGTGTGTGTGTGTGTGTGTTTGTTTGTTTTTTGTGTGTTCTTTTTCCCACGTCCTCCATCTGGGACTCCGGGCACGCGCACTGAGCGCGGAAGTACTGGTACTTGCAGCGCGTGTCCTCCTCGCCCAGCTCGCGGGAGCAGCGGCAGAACTGCACGAAGCGCAGGAGGCAGTGAGTCATCTGGTTCGTGATCGACAGGAAGCGCGGGTCGTCCATGTGCGGGTACCTTGAGGTCTGGTGCCATCACGGATCAATCCAGTTCTCAGAATGCCTCCGAAAGATGGGGTCTTGGGTCATGGTGGTGATTTTCCCGATGTTGCAATTTTTCGTAATGTCGGATCTCAGGGTACTGGGCGTTCACGAAGTCGAGGTTCTGGGTGAAGCGCTTCTCGTCCTTGGTAGACATCTCGCCTGTGACCCCTCGAAAATTATTCCTGGGGTAGTCTTTTGGGTTGTCTGTGCTGCACGCTTGAGCCAGAGTTTGCCCTTCAACCAAAATCGCTACAAAGGGTCGGCCAGTGAAGAAGCAACTCTTATTCTAAATCCACGTAGTCTTTCATGATAGCTGAAATTGTCAGGTGGGCCTCCCGAGCTAATCTACCATCAATCCTCCTGCTCCTCCTCCTGCTCCTCCTCCTCCTGCTCCTCATCATCATCAACCATCGTCAAGCATCATTATCACCATCAATCATTATCACCAGCACCACCATTCATCATCATCAGCATCATCATCATTATCATCATCATCATCATCATCATCATCATCATCGTCGTCATCATCATCATCATCATCATCATCATCATCATCATCATCATCATCATCATCATCATCATCATCATCATCATCATCATCATCATCATCATCATCATCATCATCATCATCATCATCATCATCATCATCATCATCATCATCATCATCATCATCATCATCATCATCATCATCATCATCATCATCATCATCATCATCATCATCATCATCATCATCATCATCATCATCATCATCATCATCATCATCATCATCATCATCATCATCATCATCATCATCATCATCATCATCATCATCATCATCATCATCATCATCATCATCATCGTCGTCATCATCATCATCATCATCATCATCATCATCGTCGTCATCGTCGTAATCGTCGTCATCGTCGTCATCCTCATCCTCATCCTCATCCTCATCCTCATCCTCATCCTCATCCTCATCAGCAGCATCATCAACATCCCTCCGTCCATTTCTCCCTCGCTGCCTCCCTTGTCCTCTTCCTCCTCCCTTGGCGTGGGGACCTCTGGAGACCTCCACGGACCATCCCGGATCCGAAAGAGGCCGCTCCGAGGCCCAGATTGAAGAGAGAAATTGGCCGCCACGAAGACGTGCGCGATGCTTGGAGGTCTGGGGAGGCGTGTGACTTCGCGCCCCCTGCAGGTGACCCGGGAGCCCAGAAATCCGAGATCGCGGCTTTTGTCACGACGATCGTGTGTCGCTAGAGGTGGTCCATGGCCCGAAGTGTCCCCAACTCTTCGTGCCATTTTGGAGCCCCTGGGGCCCTCTGGGCCTCGTGACAGGGTGCTCTGGAGGCTGTGGGGTCCCTCTTGGAAATCCTGGGGACACCTTGCGCCAAGAACGCTTCTGGCAAGACTGGTCACGTGGACCCCCGAAATCCCAACCTCCTGCCTGGGGCCTGTTTTTTCAGCCAATATCGTTTCCAACGGCCAAGCACCCAGAACGGGCGCCGAGGATCGACATCGCGGAAGAGATGGCCACCTTGAACGAAGGCTTGGCTGCTGACGATGTGGGAACACTGAGGCCAGCGTTCCCAAACTATCCTGAGATCTGACGTCGCGGCGCGAAAACAGTCAGCAGCAAACCAAAACAAATCATGGAACTATAGATCACATTTTTCTGCGGCACTCTCGGGACAGATCGGCAACACGCTGCCAGAACGAGGACAGGACCGGGCGAGGACACACCGAGAACCTCTGAGATCCGGCGGCTCTGGTGGATGCCTCGCGCGCCGCGGCCTTCCCGGAACGCTCCGGAACCCCCCGAGAGCGCTCTGGAGCGCTCTGGAACGCCCTCGCACGGGCCGCAGGGCATCCAGGCGCTGGAACGCGCCCCGTGCCCAACGCGGAGAAGGGGGAGGAGGAGGAGGAGGAGGGGGAGGAGGAGGGGGAGGGGGAGGGGGAGGAGGAGGAGGAGGAGGAGGAGGAGGAGGAGGAGGAGGAGGAGGAGGAGGAGGAGGAGGGAGGAGGAGGAGGAGGAGGAGGAGGAGGAGGAGGAGGAGGAGGAGGAGGGGAGGAGGAGGAGGAGGAGGAGGAGGAGGAGGAGGAGGAGGAGGAGGAGGAGGAGGAGGAGGAGGAGGGGAGGAGGAGGAGGGGTAGGAGGAGGAGGGGGAGGAGGAGGGGAGGGGGAGGGGGTGGGCAAGGGTGGGGGGGGAGGAGGAGGAGGGAGAGGAGGCTGGAGGAGGAGGAGGAGGAGGAGGAGGAGGAGGAGGAGGAGGAGGAGGAGGAAGGAGGAGGAGGAGGAGGAGGAGGAGGAGGAGGAGGAGGAGGAGGGGAGGAGGAGGAGGAGGAGGAGGAGGAGGAGGAGGAGGAGGGGGTGGGCAAGGGTGGGGGGGGGGGAGGTAGGAGAGGAGGAGGAGGAGGGGAGGAGGAGGAGGAGGAGGAGGAGGAGGGAGGAGGAGAGAGGATGAGGAGGTGGATGAGAGGGAGGAGCGCCGCCCGCGCGCCCTTGCCCGCACGCGCCCCCGGGGAGCCGCGGCGGCGGCCCCTCCCGGGCCGGGTGCCCAGGCGAGGACCGCCCAGATCCTCCTCTCTCCTCTCCTCCTCTCCTCCCCTCTCTCCTCCTCCTCCTCCTCCCTCCTCCTCCTCCCTCCTCCCCCTCCTCCCCCCCTCCCCCTCCTCCTCCTCCTCCCCCTCCAAAGTCAGGCGGGCAGTGCGCGGCCCGCAGCAGCAGACCGGCAAGAGAGACGCCGCGCCCAGATCTCGGAGCAGGAGCGCCCTTGCCCGCACGCCCTGCAGCACGCGCCCCCCAGGAGCATCGGCTGCGGCCCTTCCCAGGGCTCTTCCCGGGACCATTTCCCTCCTCCTCCTCCTCCTCCTCCTTCTCCTTCTTCCTCCTCCTCCTCCTTCTCCTCCGTCTCCTCCTCCTCCCTCCTCCCTCCTGCCTCCTCCCTCCTGCCTCCTCCCTCCTCCCTCCTTTGAGGGAGGGAGGAAGGAGAAGGAGGAGGGAGGAAGGAGGAAGGAGGAAGGAGGAGGAGGAGGAGGGTCAGAGGCACGCACCATTTCAGGCACTCGGAGCCGTGGGGGGCAGTGCCAGAAGGGGACAAGATCAGTCGGCATCGAATTGGAGATCGGGCGGAATCGGAATAGGTGCCGGATCGTGCTCCGTCGCCACGCAGTCGGAATCGAATCGAGTCGGACGCGCCGCAATGCACAACAGTGCCATGCAAACATCGAGCCGCACCGGACCGTCGGAATATCGGAATCGCACTGGATCGAACCGGCCGAACTCGATAGCGCAGCGAATCGACAAGATCGACATGGGGTGAAGGAACATCGCGGTAAACAGCCTCTGGAAGATGGAAGCGTCAGCTTCTGGATGGCCTCGCCCACTAGCCCCACCTTTGAGAACCCCCCCCCTCTGCGAACCGCCGACCGCTCGTGCGTGCATGTCTGTATGTGAGAAAAGAAAAGACCAGGATTAATTTCGATCCGATCGATCCGATGCGATATTGAGTTCGGCAGGCTCGATCCTGTTTGATTACGATATTCCGGCGATCCGATGTCGCCCGATACTTGCATGGCGCTGCTGAACATCCTGACGCGTCCGATTTGATTCGCTTCCGACTCCGTGCCGATGCGGCCCGATCCGACGAACATTCCGAGTCGATCCGTTTTTTCAGTTCGATGCTGGCTGGCCCTGGAGACGAAGGAGACGGGAGGGGAGAGGAGAGAGTTGTTGGAGGCCTGGAAATTAGCACCAACACCAACACGGGGGGGTTGCCTCCACAAGGGGAAGATGATCCTGGATTTCGGTGTTGGTGGTAATATTTCGGCCACCCTGGAAGCCAGAATATTACCACCATCACCGAGATGGGGATCTTCCCTCGATGAGCGCACCGCCGAAAGTGGTGTTGGTGCCAACCTCTAGGCCTGAGAGATTTGGTCTCGGATGTAGCCTCAGGCCGCGGGCTCGCCGCCCGCGCCGCAGCCTTCCAGGGGAGCGAGGTCTGGCCAGCGCGGGACACGGGCAGCTCGGCCCAACGCGGAGAACGGCGACCGGCTGCGTTACTGAGGCACTCAGCGAAGGAGAGGTCGAGAGAGAGAGGGGAGTGAACGCAGAAATACACAGAAATAAAAGAGAGCGCGAGAGAGTGAGAGAGAGAGAGAGCGAGAGAAAGAGAGAGAGAGAGAGAGAAGAGAAAGAGAGAGAGGGATAAAATAACAAACCAACTGTTTAAAAACCATAATTATTTTGCTTCGAACGATCCCCATCGAAACCGTCGGCATGTGTTCCCAAGTCTCGTAATATTTGTTACTGTGGCCAGCCTGAGCTCGGCGCGCACGTCGCGTTTGATAGGACGCCGCTACTCGATCGCTGCTGCATTCCACCATCACGTTCTGTTTGATTCTGTTCTGTTCTATACACATACGGTTTGTTATACTCTGTTCTCGACGGGACGGCGTGACGTCGTGAGGCCTGTCACATGCGACATGTCATCCAATCGGTCGTTGCTGCGCCTGTTTGTTCCTGTGGCTCGCCTGTACTCGGCGCGCATGCTGCGATTGATAAGGCACCGTTACTCGGTCACTGCTGAATTCTACCATGCTCTACTATGTTGTGTTCACGTTTGTACTTTGCTATCGAACTCTATTCAGTTCGGTTCTGTTCTGGACGGACTGGCGTGACGTCATGACGCCTGTCACATTTTATACATCATCATACTGGTCGTTGCTGCGCCTGGTTGATCCTGTGGCCAGCCTGGCCTCTGCGCGCACGTCGCCTGTGGCAGGAAGCCGTTAATCGGTCGCTGTTGGAATCATTCGATTGCACTGTGTTCTGTTTTGTCCTTCTATTCTGTAATGTCACAGGTATCCTGCTATGTGGTGCTACTTTTAGCTCCCATCTAACGTATTCGACTCAGCAACATATTCGACTCAGCAACCAAGCTTTGTAGCGTCGAGCCCAATAGCTGCGACCTGCCCGTCACCTTCCTCGCTGGGTGCCCCAGGGGGCTTGACCGAGGCTCGTGCAACCTCCATGGCCTGCGCACGCCTCTCATCCAGCTTGACTTTCTTTTCGGCCACCACCTTCTCTGACTCATCAATCTCATTTTGCAGCTCTTGTAGCTGCACCCGCTTGTTCTCAATGTTTTTTCTCCTGCTTTGCAATCTGAGCGCCCATAGCCTCAATCTTGCGAGTGAGACTGAGAATCCTCGCTGCTGCAGGCTTCCGCTTGTTGATATCAGCCTGGATCGCATCGCGTTCCGCGCCCAAGCTGGCCTTGAGCGCGGCCCAAGCGAGGCCCTCGCACTTGCTGGCCATGTCCAACTGCTTCTCCAGTTCTGCCAGTCGTGCACGAGCCTTTCCTTCATTGAATTGACCATCGTTGTCCGTAGATGTGCTAGCGTCGTCGCCAGCGTCCACGTCCATGGCCTCGTCTGTAAATCGTACCTTCTTGACGCCAGACTTGTCACGCTGCTCGCGCAACTGTGCCTCCAGCTTCTTGATGGTGTCCTGGGCTGCCTGGGGCTGCAGCTTAGTCTGGTTCCACGGGGCCACCTTGTCGGCCGAAGGACCAGCACGGACACTGGGAGACTTGTGCTCCTTGTAGCTGTGGAAGCACGCCCCTTTTGACCTTCTGCACTGGTAGCAGACGTCCCGTTCTGGTTTATTGAAGAACTTCTCTCCAGTGCGCTGGTGAATGCAGAACCTGCAGAACCGCGTGCGCTGGTCGGCAGCTGCCAGACCACCGGCGCGGCCAGGCGCCATGGCTGGGCCCAGCTGAACAGCACGCTGCGCGCCGTCCTGCGCCACCTTCGCAGCCAGGCTCGCGAACCCCCAGCCCTTCTGAAGTGTCGGGATCCGCAAGCACAAAATGCTTGTGCCAGAAGGGCTGGGGAGGAGAGGAGGAGGAGGAGGAGGAGGAGGAGGAGGAGGAGGAGGAGGAGGAGGAGGAGGAGGAGGAGGAGGAGGAGGAGGAGGAGGAGGAGGAGGAGGGAGGAGAAGGAGTAGGAGGGGGAGGAGGAGGAGGAGGAGGAGGAGGAGGAGGAGGAGGAGGAGGAGGAGTAGGAGTAGGAGTAGGAGTCAAGCTAGCCAGCTCGAGCGAGTCAAGCATGGCATGCCCAGTCCCACCCGCCCTCCCACAACATAAGAAGCAAAGCTGGCACAACTGGGGGCCGAAGTCACACCGGCCAGCCGGTTTGGTACAGCTGATGCGGCCGCGATGGCGGTTGCCGACGGGAACTGGCGAGCGCGTGTTGAATGCCGCGCACGCATTGCCAGACGAGTCGAGAATGGCCCGGTACACCGCAGGAAGCCAGAGGTGGCCGGAGGAAGCCCGACGGTCTGACAGGACACCCCAAAGCATTTTTGTGAAAAAGCATTGGGTTTTTGATGTTTTTATGTTGAAATGCTTGCAAACACACGGTGTTCGGTAGGATTCTGACATGAACGCGCGAGTGTGCTCTTTGTGGTATTTGTTGCACAGGATTCGCGGCCTGGGTGCATGACAGAGCATCGCGAGTGCACCGCGCGATGACGTGAAATCGCTGGATTTGACAGAATTCTTAAGATTCCTATGGTTTTCCTATGATTTCAGCAAGAGAGCCCGGGCGGGAAATTTGTACAATTTTTGTGAAAAAAGCATTGGGTTTTTGATGTTTTTATGTTGAAATGCTTGCAAACACACGGTGTTCGGTAGGATTCTGACATGAACGCGCGCGTGTGCTCTTTGTGGTATTTTTTGCAATGGATTATCGCCGTGGACGACAGGACGTCCATGTCGAGAGGAAAAAATAAGAAAAATGTTGATTTTGTATTGTTTTTTACAGGTTAGGATGGGACCACCCGGATGCGCCCGCTATCTGCCGGCCTGAGGGGGGAGTAGGAGTATATTCTAATAAGGAATAAGGATAGGAGTAGTAGTAGTAGTAGTAGTAGTAGTAGTAGTAGTAGTAGTAGTAGTAGTAGTAGTAGTAGTAGTAGTAGTAGTAGTAGTAGTAGTAGTAGTAGTAGTAGTAGTAGTAGTAGTAGTAGTAGTAGTAGTAGTAGTAGTAGGAGTAGTAGTAGTAGTAGTAGTAGTAGTAGTAGTAGTAGGAGTAGGAGTAGTAGTAGTAGTAGTAGTAGTAGTAGTAGTAGTAGTAGTAATAGTAGTAGTAGTAGTAGGAGGAGGAGGAGGAGGTGGAACTGGAGGACGAGGGCGGAGGGAATAACGTCGCATTATAGTATCCGCGTTTCATTGGCGTGGTGTTTAGTTGTCCGCAGCAGATCCCCACCGGCATGCTCCTTCTACTTGTCCTGTGCACGCAGGCGCTGTGGTATGCACTTTTACCAGCATAAATCCCGAGGGAACGCCGCGCCGGCCCAGTGCACACGTCCGCGCGCGGGCGCAAGGGGTGTGGAAACTGGGCCATATTCGAGGGGGTTGCGGTGGAATGCCGGGCATGAGGTCGGGGCTCAAGAGACGGGGGTCGATGCAAAGGGGGTCAGACAGAGCGCCGGATTGTGCAGGATCTTGCAGGGCCAGGGTCGCACTGACCCGAAATGTGGTGCCTGTGGCTGTGACACGTGGCGCCTGCGGCCGTGGAATGCGGCGCCTGCGGCTGTGAAATGCGGCGCCTGTTGCTGTGACATGTGGGGCCCATGGTTGTGCAGCGCGGGGCCCATGGCTGTGGAATGTGGCGCCAGCGGCTGTGAAATGCGGCGCCTGCGGCTGTGAAATGTGGCGCGCTCGTGAAATGTGGCGCTTGTGGCTGTGACATGTGGTGCCCGTGGCTGTGAAATGTGGCACCTGTGGCTGTGAAATGTGGCGCCTGTGGCTGTGGAATGTGGCGCCCCTGGCTGTGAATTGCGGCGCCTTTGGCTGTGAAATGTTCGGCGCCTGCGGCTGTGAAATGCGGCGCGCTCGTCTGTGAAATGCGGCGCCTGCGGCTGTGAAATGCGGCGCCTGTGGCTGTGAAATGCGGCGCCTTTGGCGGTGAAATGCTCGGCGCCCGCGGCTGTTAAATGCGGCGCCTTTGGCTGTGAAATGCGGCGCCTGCGGCTGTGAAATGTGGCGCTTGTTGCTGTGACATGTGGCGGCCATGGCTGTGCAATGTGGCGCCCGCGACTGCGCAGCGCGGCGCCAGCGGTTGTGCGCCGTGGCGCCAGCAGCAGTGCCATGTGGCGCCAGCGGCTATGCAATGTGACGCTTGCGGCTGCGCAGTGCGGTGCCTGCGGCTGCGCAATGTGGCGCCTGCGCATTTTCGCGCGGACCATGCTTACGCGCGCGTTATGCTTGGCGGTTCTGCAATGTGAGGCTTGCACATGCACGTGCGCATTATGCTAACGCACGTACTATGCTTGCGTGTGTGATATGGCAACGTACGCACCATGCCCACGCACGCGCGCATGGAACGTAGAAACCAAACACAGCAGATGCGGCCACCACGGGGCTCGAACCCGCGAACGCCAGCCTAGAGATCCAACGCTTTGCTGACTGAGCTAGACAATATAAGTTTTAGAAGCCTGCAATGATATAATTCTGAGAAGCGCACGCAATGCATAAAATTGACCCCCGCAAGGTCCACGAGAGGCTTCTGAGGGAATACTGCAAGTGAAAGGCGCAAGCGGGGCTTGCGAAAGGTTTCTGATACGCAGATGGAACGGCGCCTCCGAAAGGCAAATGCGGAGCTGACTCATGGTAGGCCCGCGAGGAGCGAATGAATCTTCTGAGACGCTTCTGAGAGGCTTGGGCAAATATTTTGGAAAGCGTCCGCCCGTTGGACATCGCGCCATGTTCGAAAGCAGCAAAACGCGCATGCGCCTACCTTGGGGATCGAACCCGCGGCCCCCAGCTTACATGGCTGGCGCTCCACCGACCGCGCTGGGCGGGAGAAGCTTGCGAAGGATTTCTGAGACGCGTCCAGTTGCAAGGTGCATGGGGGGCCTATAGAGCCGCTAGGTGGCCCGCGAGAGACGCACGAGGGGCTTCCGATGGGCCCCCGCGGGCACGCGAGGGGATTCTGAGAGGCGTCAGGGGAGCGCAGTACGTAGCATTGTGGAAAATATGTTTTGCGGGCCAATGAGAAGTTGGGCTCTGGGGGGCTTGCAAATAGATCGCGAGAGGCCTCTGATGGGCCAGAAAGACGTCGTGCAATGCGGCGCATGCGGCTGTGACATGTGGCGCCCGCGGCTGTGAAATGTGGCGCCTGTGGCTGTGACATGTGGCGCCTGTGGCTGTGAAAATGCGGCGCCTGTGGCTGTGGCGCGCGGCGCGCGTGGCTGTCAAATGCGGCGCCTGCGGCTGTGAAATGCGCGGCGCCTGCGGCTGTGAAATGCGGCGCGCTCGGCTGTCATGCGCGGCGCCTGCGGCCGTGAACTGTGGCGCCGGTGGCTGTGAAATGCGGCGCCTGTGGCTGTGAAACGCGGCGCCTGTGGCTGTGAAATGCGGCGCCTGTTGCTGTGAGACGCGGCGCCTGTGGCTGTGAATTGCGGCGCCTGCGGCTGTGACATGTGGCGCCTGTGGCTGTGAACTGTGGCGCCCATGGCTGTGCAATGTGCGCCCGCGACTGCGCGGCGCGGCGCCAGCGGCTGTGCACTTTAGCGCCAGCAGCAGTGCAATGCGGTGCCAGCGGCTGTTCAATGTGACGCCTGCGGCTGTGGAGTGCGGCGCCTGCGGCTGCGCCATGTGGCGCCTGCGCCTGTTCGCGCGTGCCATGCTTGCGCGCGTGTTATGCCCGGCGGTTCCGCAATGCGAGGCTTGCCCATGTACGTGCGCATTATGCTTGCGCACGTGCAATGCTTGTGTACGCGCTGTGGTCGCGCGCGCACCATGCCCACGCACTCGCGCACGGAGCGCAGAAACAAAACGCATCAGATGCGGCCACCACGGGGCTCGAACCCGCGAGCGCCAGCCTGGAGGGCCGGCGCTTGGCTGATTGAGCTAGACGGGAGAAGCCTATGATTGAATTCTGAGAAGCGCATGCAATGCATGAAATTGATTCCTGCGAGGTCCACGAGAGGCTTCCGAGGGAATACTGCAAGTGAGAGGCGCAAGCGGAGCTTGCGGAGGGTTTCTGATGCGCAAATGGAACGGCGATCCCGAAGGGCAAATGCAGAGCTGACTCATGGTCGGCCTGCGAGGAGCGAATGAAGCTTCTGAGACGCTTCTGAGAGGCTTGGGCAAATATTTTGGAAAGCGCCCGCCCGTTGGACATCGCGCCATGTTCGAAACCAGCAGAACACGCGCGCGCCCCTTTGGGGCTCGAACCCGCGGCCCCCAGCTCACATGGCTGGCGCTCCACCGACTGCGCTGGACGGGAGAAGCTTGCGAGGGATTTCTGAGAAGCGTCCAGCATGCAAGGTATATGGGGGGCTTATAGAGCCGCCGGGTGGCCCACGAGAGGTTTACGAGGGGCACCCGATGGGCTCTTGAGGGCATGTGAGAGGATTCTGAGAGGCGTCAGGGTAGCGGACCACTGTGGAAAAAATAGGTTTGAAGAAGCACATCACAAGGCTGGTATCTGGGGGGCATGCAAATGCATCGTGAGAGGCCTCTGATGAGCTGATAAGAAGTCGTGGCATGCGGCGCATGCGGCTGTGAAATGTGGCGCCTGTGGCTGTGAAATGCGCGGCGCCTGCGGCTGTGAAATGCGGCGCGCTCGGCTGTGAATTGTGGCGCCTGCGGCTGTGAAATGTAGTGCCTGTGGCTGTGAAACGCGGCGCCTGCGGCTGTGAAATGCGGCGCCTGCGGCTGTGAAACGCGGCGCCTGCGGCTGTAACGCGCGGGGCCCATGGTTGTGCAGCGCGGCGCCTGCGGCTGTGAAGTTCGGCGCGCGCGGCTGTAAAATGCGCGGCGCCTGCGGCTGTGAAAAGCGGCGCGCTCGGCTGTGAAGTGCGGCGCCTGTGGCTGTGAAATGCGGCGCCTGTGGCTGTGAAATGTGGCACCTGCCTGCGGCTGTGAAATGCGGCGCCTGCGGCTGTGAAATGCGGCGCCCCTGGCTGTGAGTTGAAGCGCCTTTGGCTGTGACATGCTCGGCGCCTGCGGCAGTGAAATGCGGCGCTTGTGGCTGTGAAATGCGGCGCCTGCGGCTGTGAAATGCGGCGCCTGTGGCTGTGGAATGTGGCGCATGTGGCTGTGAAATGCGGCGCCTGTGGCTGTGAAATGTGGCACCTGCGTTTGTGAGATGCGGCGCCTGTGGCTGTGAAATGTGGCGCATGTGGCTGTGAAATGTGGCGCCTGTGGCTGTGAAATGTGACACCTGCGTTTGTGAAATGTCGCGCCTGTGGCTGTGAAATGTGGCGCCTGTTGCTGTGATATTTGGCGGCCATGGCTGTGCAGCGTGGCGCCCGCGTCTGCGCGGTGCGGCGCCAGCGGCTGTGCACTTTCGCGCCGGCAGCAGTGCAATGTGGTGCCAGCGGCTGTTCAATGTGACGCTTGCGGCTGCGGGGTGCGGCGCCTGCGGCTGCGCCATGTGGCGCCCGCGCCTGCTCGCGCGTACCATGCGTGCGCGCGGGTTATGCTCGGCGGTTGTGCAATGTGAGGCTTGCCCATGTACGTGCGCATTATGCTCACTTACGTACTATGTTTGCGTGCGTAATATGGCCACGCGCACGCCATGCCTACGCACTCGCGCATGGAGCGCAGAAACCAAACACAGCAGATGCGGCCACCACGGGGCTTGAACCCACGACCGCCAGCCTAGAGGGCCAGCGCTTTGCTGATTGAGCTAGACGGGAGAAGCCTATGATTGAATTCTGAGAAGCGCATGCAATGCATGAAATTGATTCCCGCGAGGTCCACGAGAAGCTCCCGAGGGAATACTGCAAGTGAGAGGCGCAAGCGGGGCCTGCGAAGGGTTTCTGATACGCAGATGGAACGGCGCCTCCGAAAGGCAACTGCGGAGCTGACTCGTGGTAGGAACGCGAGGAGCGAATGAGGCTTCCGAGATGCTTCTGAGAGGCTTGGGTAAATCTTCTGGAAAGCGTCCGCCCGTTGGACATCGCGCCATGTTCCAAAACCAGCAAATGCGCATGCGCCCACCTTGGGGCTCAAACCCGCGGCCCCCAGCCTACATGGCCGGCGCTCCACCGACTGCGCTGGGCGGAAGAAGCTCACGAAGGATTTCTGAGAAGCGCTCAGTTGCAAGGTATACGGGAGGCCTGTAAGGACGCTGGGCGGCCCGCGACAAACTTACGAGGGGCTTCCGATGGGCTCTTGATGGCATGCGAGAGGATTCTGAGCGGCGTCAGGGGAGCGTAGCATTGTGGAGGCATGCAAATACATCGTGAGAGGTTTCTGATGAGCTGATAAGATGTCGTGAAATGCGGCGTACGCGGCTGTGAAATGCGGCGCCTGTGGCTGTGGAATGCGCGGCGCCTGCGGCTGTGCAATGCGGCGCGCTCGGCTGTGAATTGTGGTGCCTGCGGCTGTGAAATGTGGTGCCTGTGGCTGTGACATGTGGCGCCTGTGGTTGTGAAATGTGGCGCCTGTGGCTGTGGAGATGCGGCGCCTGCGGCTGTGACGCGTGGGGCCCGTGGCTGTGCAGTGTGGCGCCTGTGGCTGTGAGATGTGCGCGGCGCCTGCGGCTGTGACAGGGCGGCGCGCGCGGCTGTGAAATGCGGCGCGCTCTGCTGTGAAATTTGGCGCTTGTGGCTGTGATACGTGGTGCCTGTGGCTGTGAAATGCGGCACCTGTGGCTGTGCAATGTGGCGCCTGCGGCTGTGAAATGTGGCGCCCCTGGCTGTGAATTGCGGCGCCTGTGGCTGTGAAATGCATGGCGCCTGCGGCTGTTAAATGTGGCGCGCTCGGCTGTGAAATGCGGCGCCTGCGGCTGTGAAATGTGGCGCCTCCCTAGTCGACAAAAATAGATACTGGTAGTGTCTATCTTTGGTGCGTGTCTGCTATGGCGAAACCGCGACGCATCTGAGTCGGAGCGCGCGAAACGCGAGTATATGTTTATGTCGTTTTGATCTGCAATTCGTGTGACCAAATGAAAATAGACACGTGCAAAATAGATAGTGTTACCAAAAATGAATACGGAATCAGCTTCACGTTTCTTTTTTTTTCTAGGAAAAAGATACGCATTGCAATTTCCTTGGGTTAAGCATAGAAACTCATCAAAACAAACAGAAACTGGTTCGAAAAAAAAATAGATACTGATAGATTTGGCGCGCGCCGAATCCTTGGCCGAGCCCAAAAATAGACACTCCAAATTCCGCTGAAACGTCAGAGGTTAAAAGATTGGGTGGTTCCCTAGGGATTCCTATGTCTTCCTTCAGGATTCCTAGGGATTCCTTAGGGATGCACTCGAGATCCCGAAGTATTCCTGAAGGCTTGCTGAAGGATTCCCTGGGGATTCCTGCGGATTCCCTATAGGGAATCTTAAAGATTTCCGAAGGATTCCTGAGGATTCCCTATTAGGGATTCCTAAAGATGTCCCTTTGGATTCCTACGGATTCCTTATAGGCTTGCAAAGAATTCCCTAAGGATTCCTGATGGATTCTTAAAGATTCCTTACGGATTCCTAAAGATTCCCTAAGGATTCCAAGGGATTCCAATGGATTCCTTATGGGGTCCTAAGAATTGCCAAGGGATTTCATCGGATTCACTCGGGACTGCTCCGGATTTCCTAAGATCTCCTAACGCTTCCTGGGGATGTTTTAGCATTCCCGAGGGATTCCTCAGGATTCCCAGAAAGGATTCCTCAGGATTCCTGAAGGATTCCTGAAGGATTCCTTAAGGATTCTCACAGGATGTCCTAGGATACCCGAAAGATTCCCTACTGGATTCCCTAAGGGTGCCCGAAAGATTCCCTAAGGATTCCCTAGGGATTCCGAAGGATTCCCAAAAAGGATTCCTAGGGATTCCCTGCGATTCCTTCAAGATCCCCTAGGGCTTCCGCAAGATTCCTCGGGGATTCCGGAGGATTCCCTAAGGATCCCTTAGGGATGTGCGTGTGTGTGTGTGTATGTATGTGTGTGTATGTGTGTGTGCGTGTTTGTCTGTCTGTCTGTCTGCCTGTCTGCCTGCCTGCCTGTCTGTCTGTCTGTCTGGCTGTCTGTCTGTCTGTCTGTCTGTCTGTCTGTCTGTCTGTCTGTCTGTGTGCGTGCGTGCGTGCGTGCGTGCGTGCGTGCGTGCGTGTGTGCGTGTGTGCGTGTGTGTGCGTGTGTGTGTATGTATGTATGTATGCATGTATGTATGTATGTTGGTATGTACGGATGTATATATATATATGTATATATAGATATAGAGACACACACGGCCACTCCTGGATCTCTGGGGGCCCCCCTTGGAGCCCTCTTGGGGCTCTCCGTAGCAGCATTTGAGGGCCCCGAGAGGGCCTCAATAGGGCCCCAAGAAGGGCACTCGCGTGACTTCGGTTTGACTCCTCCTGGGCCCTCCTTGGAGCCTTATTGAGGCCCTGCGAGACGGCACTGGAGGTGGAGGAGGAGGAAGCAGTGAGGAGGAGGAGCAGGGAGGAGGGGGAGGACGAGCAGGAGGAAGGATGGCGAGTTGGACGAGGACGAGGAGGAGGAAGGATGGCGAGTTGGCGAGTTGGTCGCGTGCCTCTATTTCGACTGGGGGGTGACCCCCTTGGAGCCCTCGTGGGGGCCCTCTTAAAGCATTTTCGGGGCTCTCCAGCGTGGTCTCGGGGGGCCCCAACTGGCTCCAAGAGGAACCCAAGAGGAGTCCATGAGGGCCCCAGCGGTGTACATGACTCGAGGCTGTGGTTTCATTCACCCCTTGAACCCTTTCGGGCCCTCTTGGAACCGTCTAGGGGCCTTTCGAGATTCATGGAGGGTCCCGGAGGGCCCCCCGAGTACCCTCAGAGGGCCGAAGAAGGGGTCCGAGAGGGGCCCAAGAGGGCCTCAGCAGCGTATATGACTCGAAGCTTTGTGTTTACTTACCCCAGGCGCCCTCTTGGGGCCCTTCAAGGCCCTCCACACACACAAACGTACGCGCGCATGCGCGCGCACGCACGCGCGCACGCACGCACGCACGCACGCACGCACGCACGCACGCTCACACACAGACACACACACACACACACACACGCACACACACACACACACACACACACACACACCCGCGCGCACGTACGCCATACACTTTCGCGCGCACCCATACACATGCACACATCGTCACATGCATACAGGCCCATGCAGACGTTCACGTGCACGCATCCACGCCACCTTCGATTGAATGTCGTGGACTGTTTGAAGCTGGTCTTCTCAGCTCTACTATGGTCGCCACTTCGTGCTTTAAAAATAGATACTGTCGCTCAAAACAGATACGAAATAAATACTAGCTAGACACCAATAGACACGCAAATCTTGCAACACAGCCGATGCGCAAAAATATGTTTAGACACTGTCCGAGCTAGATACTTTTAGATATTATGACCACCGGGCCTCAGCGGGAGCACGATAATTTCTAAAAGCGTCTATTTGTAAAAAATAGATACTAATAGATACTGTGTGCACGGCGCCTCAACGGGAAGCTCCGAATTTCTAAAAATGTCTATTCTTGTTTCCGGCTGTCTAGCAGAGACTGACCCCGGACTGACCCCGGACTGACCCCGGACTGACCCCGGACTGACTCCGGACTGACCCCGGACTGACCCCGGACTGACCCCGGACTGACCCCGGACTGACCCCGGACTGACCCAGGACTGGCCCCGGACTGACCCCAGACTGGCCCCAGACTGGCCCCGGACTGACCCCAGACTGATGACCCTGGACTCAGGACTGACCCCGGACTGACCCCGGACTGACCCCGGACTCACCCAGGACTGACCCCGGACTGACCCCGGACTGACTCCGGACTGACCCCGGACTGACCCCGGACTGACCCCGGACTGACCCCGGACTGACCCCGGACTGACCCAGGACTGGCCCCGGACTGACCCCAGACTGGCCCCAGACTGGCCCCGGACTGACCCCAGACTGATGACCCTGGACTCAGGACTGACCCCGGACTGACCCCGGACTGACACTCCAGGACTGACCCCGGACTGACCCCAGACTGGCCCTGGACTGACCCCAGACTGACCCCGGACTGACCCCGGACTGACCCCGAGCTGACCCCGGACTGACCCCGGACTGACCCTGGACTGACCGCGGACTGACCGCGGACTGACCCCGGACTGACCCCGGACTGGACCCCGGACTGACCCCGGACTGACCCCAGACTGACCCCGGACTGACCCCGGACTGACCCCGGACTGACCCCGGACTGACCCCGGACTGACCCCAGACTGACCCCGGACTGACCTTGGACTGACCTTGGACTGAACCCGGACTACAATGGCAACGACAACATCTTCTCAGCATCGTTCCCGGGGACATATACTCCATATTGAGGCCCCAGCTCGGTAAAACTAGACTCGGTAAAAATAGATCTCGGCTAAACTAGGTCGGCATCTGATATCTATTTTAAACGAGTGGAGTGTAGGCGGATCGAGAGGCCTGCCCTTAAAATCTGAAAACCCCCACATTTCTGGCTGGGTAGAGATTCAAAAAAACAGAGGCAGAAGCCTGGAATGGGGAATTCCCCGCTGCAGTGTCCTGGCGGAGAACCGCGGGCAACGCGTTCTCCTCCTCCTCCTCCTCCTCCTCTCCTCCTCCTCCTCATCCTCCTCCTCGTCCTCCTCATCGGCCTCCTCCTGCTTCTCATCCTCCAGGCCTTCGATCTTCCTGTCGTGACCTTGGCTTTCCTCCTCCACCCGAATCTGCTCCTGCAAAACGCGTCAAGGGCATCGTCCGCAAGAGAGGCGCGCAGCGAGAGGAGTCGCGCGCGGCGGCGGGCGGGTCCCCTGGACGCGCGCGTCCGACTCTGCCACCTGAAAGCTGAACGACTGCGACGCCAGGTCGACCTCCCCCCAGCCGCGCCCCTCCTTCTGCCTCTCCTCCTCGTCGTCCTGCTTCTCCTCCTCCACCTCCTCCCCCTCCTTCCCCCGACCCTCCCCTTCTCCATAACCTTCCTCCATTCCTATCCTCCTGCCCACCCTCGTCCCCTGTGCTCCCCCTCCTCGTCCTTCTCCTCCTTGTCCTGATCTCATCCTCACACTCTTCTCATCCTCCTCCACATCATCCATCTCCTGATAACCACCACCATCACCATCACCATCACCATCACCATCACCACCACCACCACCATCATCATCACCATCATCATCATCATCATCATCATCATCATCATCATCATCATCATCATCATCATCATCATCATCATCATCATAATCATCATCATCATCAGCAGCAGCTTCAGCATCATCATCATCATCATCATCATCATCATCATCATCATCATCATCTTCATCATCGTCATCATCATCAACATCAGCAGCATCATCATCAGCATCATCATGATCAGCATGATCATCGTCATCCGCAGCATCATCATCATCATCAGCAGCATCATCACCATCACCGTCACCATCATCATCAGCAGCAGCATCATCACCGTCATCATCATCATCATCATCATCCTAACCACTATAGTCGCTAGAATCACTATCACCATCATCATCAGTATCAGTATCAGTATCAGTATCATCGTCGTCATCATCATCATGATCATCAACACCACTATCAGCATCAGCAACAGCAGCATCATCAACCTCGTCACCACCATCAAACCCACCACCATACTCGTCATCATAATCATAATCATAATCATCGTCATCATATTCATCATCATCAGCATCGCCATCACATTCATTATCATCACCATCACCGTCATCATCAAGCATCATCACCACCATTATCGACATCATCATCATGATCATCATCCGCATCATCATCATCATCATCATCATCGTCATCGTCATCGTCATCGTCGTCATCATTTTCATCATCATGATCGTCGTCGTCATCATCATCATCAGCATCAACATCCTCATCATCACCAGCATCACGGTCGTCGGCACTATCATCACCATCCACTCCTTGTCATCCTCATCCTCTGCATGCTCCCCCTACTCCTCCGTCTCCTCATCCTCCTCCACCCGCTTCCCCCCTCCTCCTCCACCTCTTACTCCGCATCATTTATCTGTCCTCCTCCCTCCTTTTCGTTTCCCTCCGTCCCCTCATCATCCGCAACAATTACACAATAAGAATGCTACTCTCCTCTTTCCCCCGAGTGTGTCCAGAGAGTGGCCGCCATCCCTCCACGTTCAGGTTTTTTGCATTTGTTTTGCGCGAGCGAGCTTCTGGTTCGTAGCTTCTGAATTAGATCACTTCGCGTCGTGTTTGTCTCCGCACTGGATTTGTGCGAACTGGCTTTTCATATGGTTTAGGACATCTGATCGTTTACATTTTTCACGAATGCTGCTCTCGCTGCAGCGTGGGCCTACTTTTTGGATCGGAGCTGTGCTCCCGTTGCTCAGAACGGCGTTCCCGCCTCAGCGTGGGCCACTTTCCTGGATCCCACAGGTCTCGCAGCCACCACAACTCCCACAGGACCCACAAATGTCGCAGGCCGCCAAGCAAGTTCCACAAGTCCCGCATGTTTCGCAAGTCTCGCATGCTATCCAGGTCCAACTCATGCTTGTCGGTGGGGTTGTCCAGCTCGTCGATGAAGTTGGGCGGGTGCATCATGCACGGTATCCCGCCTGTGTACAACCCCCCCCCCCCCCTCCCCTGTCGCGAACCGCGGGCTCGAAAGGCAAGCTGCGAGCGAAACTCGCAGCACGTGGGTGGGCCGGTGCGGAACATGTACTCCCCCGTGGGTCATGTATATATATACATACATATATATACATATATATATAGTGTCGCACAACCTGCCATGTGGGCTGCACTGGGCTAATTTACGTTGAACACGTTTGCGGTGATGCAGATCAAGAGGAAAAAGGTTGGTCTGTACCATATACCTGATTAGCATCATTGTCATCACCAACTTCATGTTGGTGATATCCAGTCAAGACACGTATGGATCTGACAGGATAACCAAACAAAAGGAACATGCTTCGGGCATCTGAACAGCCCTGAGACTTCATCATCACAGGCTTGAAATCCGGCCAGCCTGCGTCATCTACATCGTGGCCGTTCCCCCGTCGGAAGACAAGCGTGATCGCCACCAACGATCTGCCATACAGTCAATCCGCGTAGTAAGGATGCGCGATAAGGAGGCAAGGGCCTTGGACGCCCATGTCAAAGTCTTTCGAGCGGGGCGCGACCAACGGCAGTGGCCAAAGATGGACCGAGGAGGCTAGGATGCAAGGGTATCCTTGGGTAGATTGCCCATCCTTACTTTGCGGGTTGACTGAAATCTCCCTCGCGGGACGCTCCCGAGACGAATAGGGGGCAGAGCATGCAGAAGACAAGCACAATCGTCACCAACGAATGGCCAGACTCTCGCGCGGGACGCTTCCAGACGCTCTAACGGCTGAAATGTTATGGTCGTAGAGGTAGTCGGCGCATCTCAGATACAGTACCCGCCAGCAACCCATTTGTCGACCCTCCCCGTCAGAAGGCAAGCGTGATCGTCACCGACGATCCGCCAGAATCTCCCTCACGGGATGCTTCTGCAATGAACAGGGAGGGTAGCGACGTCAAAACTGAAATTGATGAAGTGCTGCTCGTCGAAGCCGATGAACTGCAAGGTGGGAAAAATAAGGAACGCTTGCAAAGAGTCCATATGCTAGCCCTTGCTCGTCAGATCCGCGGCTGATCTGACCACGATCAGAAGACCGTCGTCGGAGTCAGGGCAGAGGGCTCCATCATGAAACAGAGTGAGACGCACCAGTGCACTAATGGGTGCACACGGCGAAGAAGAAGCCCCTTGCGAGTCTCATATGTCGAGTGTGTTTGCACGTGGCATCCACCTCCTCGAAATGATAACATCTGGGCTTATTTCCTGCGCTCATCGAGACGACTGTTAAAGATGTCTGGCGTGAAGCGGCGGCCCGCCTTCGCAGATGCCGCTTGTTGGCCAGTGCATGTCTCCTTCGTCCAAGTCGCAAAACGTCGGCATGAACATTTGCTGCTGCAGACGATGCGCTTGACTCGTGGTGCTTGGTTCCAAACAGTAGGTGACAGCGCGTGGACGTTTGCTCGGCCACCGTCTGGTTGGGCAAAAGTCGTTTTCTTGAGCGTGCAACGCGTGGCCCTTGAGGCCGCAGAGAGCTGTCTTGCTGAGTCCATGCCGTCGCTGTTTCTGTTGCTTAGATTGGAACTGCATTGGTAGGTTTTGAGCCCGTGGTCGGGACCGCAGCCAGAGTTTGTCCTCCAAAAATAGCGGCCACTGTCGGGGATTCCAAATTTGGAGGTTGCAAACATGGCGGTGGTGTGGACCCCCATACTGGCACAATAACCGCTGGGAAATATCGTGTCGCAGTGATCCTTGCCGTCTCGAAGATGACTGCCATGGAAACATTGAACATCAGGAAGCAAGGTCGGCATAGACAACCAATTGCAGGTCTCATGCTCAGAGCAACCAACGATCGCGCTGGCTTCGTGCTATCCTGTTTATTATATGGTAAACCATCGGCGAGGGCTCCACTTTGCAAAAAACTGACATACGCACCGCCGCAGTTTTTTTTGGGGGGAGACGAAGGAGGAAAGCAGAGAGGATCGAAGCGGACAGAATTCGAAACCGCTCGCAGCGCTATCAAAATTGGACAGCATGCATTGTGTGAAGCCCTTGTGGCGCCCAACCGCACTTAAATGACACACAATCGCAGCCGACCGCAATGCAGAGCGTAGCGGAGACAAAAACACGATCGCCCCGGACCCGGGCTGGAAAAACGAGGAGGAACAGGAGGAGGCGGAAGGAAGAAGGAAGAACTAAAGCTGCACAGCGGAGCCAACAGGTGGAGCAAAGTTGTTCTGCCCCTTCCTAGGAACCCAACCTAGAACGATACGTATAACTCCAAGTCGTATCGGTGAAACCGGGAAGGGGAAGGGAGAGAGGAAAACGAGGGAGACGGCACAGGAGCACCTGTTGGAGTATGGCAGCGAGGAGTTATGAGTCGCATAACACCCATGGGAACCGTCCGCAGTCCCAGATGGCGGCCAGGCACGAGCGTGCGCAGTCACATCGGAAGTCGAAGAATACCTCACCTGCAGCCCTTTGGCTGCCCAGCCACAGCTGGGAGAAAATAAAAGAAAAACGGCCACAATCCAGAAGAGGAGGAGGGGGAGGCAAGAGGACCAGACCAACGACGACAGAAACAAGACAAGGCGGAGGAGGGGGAACTGCCTCGCATTGAAAACTAACTGTGCCAGAAACAAGGATACCGCCACACAGTGTTTCACAGAGCGTTATCCTAAACACTGGCGGAATTTGGGTGTACCGGCCTATCCGTGGCACTATCGGCCACGCGGCCGGGACAGAGGCTGCCTCGCACTGAAAGTAGCTGTGTCAGAAACAAGGATACCGCCACACAGTGTTCCACAGGGCGTTCTCCTAAACACTGGCGGAATTTGGGTGTACCGGCCTATCCGTGGCACTATCGGCCACGCGGCCGGGACAGAGGCTGCCTTGCATTGAAAGTAGCTGTGTCAGAAACAAGGATACCGCCACACAGTGTTTCACAGGGCGTTCTCCTAAACACTGGCGGAATTTGGGAGTACCGGCCCATCCGTGGCACTATCGGCCACGCGGCCGGGACAGAGGCTGCCTCGCATTAACGTCACCGAGTCTATCCGCTCGGAGAAAATGAATCGCAGTTGCTCCGAAGTGACGTGCGGCGGTATGCAACACACAGGAAACAAATATTACACGCGTGCGGCGCGATGCATCACAGAGGCGGCGAACCGAAGGAAGGGTGGGGTGGTGCACAAGCGTCGGGGCCAGGGCATGCACCACCTATTTTGCACAACTTCGAGCGGCAGTCCGCTCGCAGGCTGTCCTGCGAGCGTGGCCGAA